AACTCGCGCACAATGTCGCGAATATGGGCGATGCGATCAAAATCAAGCTCGAGCTCGTCAATCTGCCGGATGATTTCGTGGTACCGGGCAATCTCGGCATCGGCATTGTCGATCAAGTTGCCGGCACGGTCATAGACGTGCATCGTTACGATCTGAGATTGCTCCATGAGATACTCGAGTTGCTGCTGGATGTGTTGCATGACACGGTCAAAATGGCCGCCGAGCGCAGTCAGAGATGATGCATCCAGCATCAGCAGCCCCTGGGAAGAAGCTCGACTTGCTGCGCGGGACGATGCAGATCCGTTTCCCGCGACTGCTTGTTGGCCACCGCGGAGTATTTGTATTTCCTCCGCCGTCAATCCCAGTTGTGTATCTGGCACCGCACTCGCGGCCGTTTGGGATGACATGGCGGAGATCGGAGCACGGGGCAAGGGGCACGATCACGACTGCGATGCGTCGTGCAGATCCTCAGCCCCGGTGTGCAGCGTGTCAACCTCAGAGTCCAATGTTGCGCCAGTCGAGAGTCCACAAGTGCAACTTCCCGCCTGGGGACGGCGCACGGTGGGGGAGGACCAAAGAGCAATCCGCAGGCCGACTCGTGTTATATGTCGGTCTCCGGAGACGGCGAATAGGCGGAGCGGTCGAGGGTCGGCGATGCGGGGTAGCGCGCGGCGACGGCGCCGTTGCGGCACGCGGAGAGAAGGCACAAGTGGGTGCTGTTGTAGGTTCGAGGATCGGCGGCTTCGGGGGCGCGCACAGCGTCATCATTGTTCCCTTCTCACAGAAGCGGTCATCGAGGCCATGGCGATAGCAAAGCAATTGGCAGGTCGGCGACGTCTTGAATGCCAGGAACTGACAGGAGAAATGCCCTTGCGCGGCAAACAACCCGGGGAAGGATACCGGGCGCACCAAACTTTTTTGTGAAACAGACCCTCTCGATGTCCAAAGCCGGTTCGTTCCCCCACTCGACCAGTCCAGATGCCGGCCCCGAATGTCGCGAAGAAAGGAGGATAATCGCGGGAAAGGCGGTCGTCGATGTGTGTGGTGGTGTCCCCTCTTTTTCTCTTCAAGATGCCCCGAGACATGCAGCAAAGCTGCGAATCCGGCAAGTTGGGAATGGGCTTTTGATGCAGTCGAGTGTGGGTCTGTGTGCGAATCTGCGCGAGGTCTCAGTTCATCGCGCGCATTCAAGCCATCCCCCTCGCCCGAAGCGCATCAGCTGATGGGCGGGTGGTCGAGCCAATGCGTTCTGGGATTGAGCCAAAAATCAATTCAAGGATGGTGCTGGGTGCTGATAGCACGAGAAGCGAAGCGTCCCGGACAGGCCCGCAGAATATTATTAATATCGATAACGTAGGCCGCCGTCCAGGGAATGGAACCTGCTGAATTGGGAGCCACACATGGACTTACCGACCTTCTTCGGGATCCAGGACGATTCGCCGACAAGGAGATTGAAACTGGTCAGTCGTCAGTTTTCGGTCGTTGGTCGTCTGGCAAAGATGAAAAGTGATCTGGTCAAACTCGTCTCCCCGATGTCATGGGCCCGAGCGTTGAACCCTTGTCGACGCCAAAGTTCCCACTGCCCAGTGCTTGGGACGCGCCAGGCCGTGGGAGTGACAAGGGTGTAACAAGACGTCAAGTTCGGCCATCGGTCAGGTTGAGGTTGAGTCTCTTGCGGTCCAAACGAGAGATCTCCTACGCAGCTGTCGGCCAAGTGAGAAGATTAGACGGAAGGAAGCTATCACAAGTTCCTGCAGTCCAGAAGACGGGCCGAAACAACTCCCAAATGCCGGCAGCTGGCACAGCAATCCACGGGTCAAGTGCGATCGGATCAAACAAACCACTGGGAATTTTAGCGTCGCCACTTCCTCACGCCGATTACTACTCAGATCAGCTGACCTCGCGGGGTTGCTATCCCTTTATCTTGACGGGGTGCAGCAAGCAGGAATGGGTGTGGAGTCACAGTTCCCCAGGTGTTCGGGTCGCTGCCAGGAACAGTTTCGATTCTGGCAAGGATTGGCCTGTCTGGAACCAACAATTCGCATTCGACGACGACCATGGATTGGGGACCGTTGGACTTCAACCCTGGATTTGAACACCCTACCCAAGATTGGTCTTGGGTGAAAAAATGGATTGACGGAACCGCCGGAATGAATCACGGCATGTGCCTCACATATTTCAGCGCCTTCCATGACCGCGAGGTGATGCGCACTACTCAGCGAGACTCTCCAACTTCGGGATCATCATGAGCCATGAAAGTATTGCAGGACACGCTAGAAACACGATCATCCGTGTTAGTCTGTGTATGCGGCGGTAGGGTGGCGGCTTGGTAAGGCTGCTGCATGTTTGTTCACGGCATCTGGGTAAGTTCGCAGGCTACACAACCGTCATTGCGTCGACCTAGTGTGTCCATTACCGCCTGCGGATGGCACGCGCATATTGCGTCTAGCTGCGGAACTGCATGCAACCCTTTGATCGCGATTGACGAGATGAGGCCGAGGCGGGCGATGTCAGGACGGGATGCCGGAGCCGCCTCCTCCGAACCGAACACCCTGCCGGACAGATCTCGCAATACCGTCTCCAAGCCTCCAACGCGGACGAGAAGTTCGACATGATGAAAAGACGAGATGCGATATACTCTTTGACATTGCGTCGATTAAAAGGCGGGGGGCGCTTAGTTGCAGGTGTCGAACAACAACAAACACGGGTGGGCATTGCCCACTGACCTGGCTCAGGCGCAGCGGGTCGGGCACAGCGCGGTAGCTGCCATGGCGAAAGCAATTACAAGCACGATGGTAATGATACTCGCCGCGGGCATTCTCCACCTCGAGCGGTAACAAGACCCCCCCAATTAGCCTACGATCTCGCCATCCGTGGTACCAGAAACGGTAATTCTCCCGCGATGCGGAGGTTTACACGCCTAGCGGCGCACCGAGTCTTCCATCAATGAACGAGCATGCATCATGCACGGCGATGCGTATAAGTTCGTCACCAGCCAACGTCTCTGGCCTGTGCAGACTCGACAGGCTGTATCGTTGCTTCCTGCCAGAGTCCAGCCCCACGGGTGCTCGTTCCCGAGCCATGCTGTCGTTACCGGGTTTGGCCGTCCTTGGCCTCAGTCTCCTGTCCCAGGTCTCCGGGACCATCCTTCAAAACGGACAAGTGAGAATCACCAACTTCCCCAACACCCTGATCGACAAGTCGGCCCACGACTTCACCACGTATGCGGCCAATGCCAGTGAGATCTCGTACCAAGGCCGATGGGACTCTAAATATGTGTCGTGGTGGTCGTAAGTCTCGCGGCCTTTGCAAATCATGATAGAGTCCCTCTAACAGTATCAGCGCCCCCGGCATCAAGTTTGGGTACACCGGACAGACTGTTGCCATCACGTTTGGTAACCTGACTACCCCGGGCGTCCTCGTCGGGTACCGGATCGGCGGTCTGGACTGGCAATTCACCAACATCACAGCTGGCGGAACTCACCTTCTCGTTTCCCCTGACACTCCAGGCTCGAGTTTGACAGGCCCCATCAACCCCTGGACCTTTGAGCTGCGCGTGACCAACTGGGCGTATGGTATCCAGATCAGTTCTGTTCACGTTGCCGCTGGCCAGAAGTTGATCAAGTTGCCTGCTGCGAAACGCCGCATCGAGGTTATTGGTGACAGCTTGGCTGCCGGGATGTGTGAGTGCTCACGGATTCTTGCCGCTGAGTGTTTCAGCTGACTGGCTATAGATACTTCGTACGAAGGGTTGTCGAGTTGGGCATAGTACGTGAATGCGAGGACGTCGTGACCAAGAGTTGATTGGGGACTAACTCAAGCAGCGGTGTTGGTGCTGGTCTGGGCAACACTGACTACAGTATCACTGCCTACCCTGTAAGTTTCATTTAGTTTTTGTTCCTGAGTCGGGAGATACAGACAAAAGACTCTCAAGAATACCCCCTTAGAGTATACGCAGCTAATATGCCTTAGGGAATCTGCGCTGCGGACCAGGATTGTTGGGGAAACCCCAGAGGCCAAGTTCATCAGTGGTTCTATACTTCTGACACGTCGTGGCGTGCCAACCAGGCGTGGGGAGGTATGGCAATCCCTTGCTCATCATGCATGATTCGTGCACCTAACAGTCTGCCTACCTAGATAAACCAGAACCCTGGGATTTTAGCAAGCAGCCAGCCGCCGACGTAGTCATCATCAACATCGGCACCAACGACCAAAACTCGGCGAACAACGTCTCAGCACCCGTCTACGCCGACGCGCTGACCAAGATCATCCAGGGCGTCCATGGCAAGTGGCCGCAGGCCAAGGTGGTGGTCATGTCCCTGTGGCTCGGCTTCTATCAGTCAGGGAACTCGTACTTTCCCAACGCGCCGCAGGGGTTCGTGAAGGAGGTGCAGGAGATGATTTCCATGTTCAACTCGAAAGAGTACTTGGACAACCCCATCGTCTACGACGGCATCGCCAAGAAGCCGTCACGCACAGGCAGGAAAACTAAGCCGTTTGTTCACCTGTTCAACACGACTGGCATCTTACAGCACAACGACATTGCGCCTCAGTGGCATCCGACTGATGTTGGCGCCATCAAGGTGGCAAGCCACCTCTTGCAGTTTCTCAAACTGACCTTCGGGTGGGAACTCGAGGCTACCGGACCAGAGTAAGCCTCTTCTGCACTTTGTCTATAGTGACTGACCGTCGGTAGGATTTTCCACGAGACTCTGTACTGGAACGACGAGCCGGGCTACTGAGAGATGGCAGTGGATTTCCAACCCCCCCCCCTTCCCCTACCAGAGACCATTGACATTGTATAGACCAATAGTACTAAAAAGTAGTATAATGATACAATATTGTCACCCAATTCCAAAGCATACTAGGGGCATGCCCAATCAGAATCGAATGACAGATGTCGACCGACCCGAGTCCACAACCTGTGGATCAAAAATTCAGGAGATCCACCCAAAAAATCAACATGATGCGAATGTCTTCTCACGAGGAAGAAAATGAATAGGTCCTACCCAGAATCGAACCGGGGTTGCCGGAAAATCTGGTGATCAGAATCCGGAGTGATAACCGCTACACTATAGAACCGCTTCACGTTGTGATGTTCAGGACATGTAAAACGTGTATGGCGACTCTTGGCAGATCACACCACATGGGCTTGCGACACCACATGTATGACTGCCGAACACAGCGGGATTGAAAAGCCCACCGTCCTGAGAAGGAGAGTGCCGGTGCAAACTTGAAGGTCAGGGTTAACTCCAAGGGTGTTTAGAGTGATAGTTGAGGAGGTTGGGATATTACAGAGTGCCTTTGGAAGTAAGAGTAGGGTGTTTTGGGACATGAAAGTCACTGGGAGGCAAAAGTAAAAAGGAATCTTGTTGGGTTTCAAAAGGTTCAAATTTATAGTTATTGTTTCTTGTTGATTGTGTTTGCTTAGCAGCGCTGGGGCACAGCCTGTGGTATCCGACTGCCGCCTTTGCTGACCCGGACAAGTGAAGCAGACACACCCTTGCCTACTCGCCTCTCCTTAGGAGTAGACGAAGTACGTGGTGAAGGGCGAGGCAACATCGACTTCCTCGGCACACTGCGTCTTACTTGGAGTTCGACCGTGGGAGAAGAAGGCGCATTGCTGGCCTCAATGTCAGGATCACTCGCGGGGACATCGTCGCCTGTCTCTGTGGCTAGGCTCTCGGGAGTGCTTTCGACATCGTATTTGTCAACTTCGTTGTCAGAATCAGTGCTCAACTCCAAGCTGTCCCGCACAGGAGCGCCACCGAATCTCGCAGTCATCCTCGGAATGGGTTTGGGCTGGCAGGAGGTGATTTTGGTTGTGACGGGATGCGCCTGATCTATGGTTGCTTGTCTGAGTTCGGCAATGTACTCAAGTCGAACAGCCCGTGACAGGAGAGCTCCCTCCTTCCATTCATAGAGATTTTCGAGAACTCCGATCTCGTAAAACACCTGCTCAGGGTTAAGCTCAGGGGGTGAGGGCTGACCAAAGACTTGCTCAGCGGGGATCAAGGTGGCTGGGGTCAGCCACTTGATGCCCCTTTCCCGCTTGAACTGCCAGTAGTTTAGGATCTCTGCTTCGCTGTTGGGGTTATGGCCGAGTCTCTTGTAGTGAAAGCTGCAAGCTTCGCAAAATCCAAGAACAAATTGGGATCTCTCCACAATACCTTTGCAGGTCGTACCCGGGATTGCAAGGCAGAGAAGGTTGAAAAGAACCCCGGATTCTTCCTTCGTCTTCATCGCCCGGCATTTCTCATGACGCACATCGCTATGCGCACACACCGAATGGATGAAACGAGTTTCGCAGCACATTTTCGCTAAGCCAAGTGAGCTCCTGCTTACTTGTTAGGGTGGTCGAAGTGGGTAGATGCGCTGTGTTGGTGGTGTTGTTGATGGTGATGGGGAGATGATCCGATCATGAAAGTGCAGAACAGAAGACATATTTTATATCGTCGAGGTCCTTGCCAGGGAAGAGTTCCTCATAAAGGTGGAGGATCCGAATATCGGTGTTGTGGTGAATCCCAAAGGCAACAATGCTTGTCTGTTACGCGGGAACAAAGGATGTTGACGGAGCATGAATGAAGCCTAATGAGTTGTCGAACGAAACAAACCTAGGAACAAAGGACAAAGGGATAAGGTTCAACGAGTAACTCCAGCTGCTGGCAACTGACAGAGCTCAAGTCTTGATGCACTAGCTGGAAACAGACTAGCGCTGCCGCTTACTCCATCCCTCACCAATCTGATAATGATCAGGTAATCGCCAGTCAGCCGGTTTTCTTCAAGGAACGAAAACATAGCTAGGAATCGCAAGCCTGCGATGAAGCCCGAAGAATCGACAAGCGCCGATTCCTGAGGTAATCTCACTGCTCTTTTGTTGAAAAGGCTTTGGAATGCTCACCAAATGATTGTGCTATCAACGCAACCAGCCCACCGGTAGACGCTTGTCTTGTTGAGCTTCGTCTATAAATGAAGCAATTCGCTTTCGCCTTCTCTCTTTTCGTCATTCTGATTTCCACTCTGTTTCACAATCTACCCATTCCCAACCCTTTACCCAGCAACACATTCAGCTCGTTGCTTGCGCGTATCTTTACCACACCACATACACCTCCCATGTTCAAAAACACTGTCTCCAAAGCCGCCAAGATGTCGTCTCAGAGTCTGAGTCTTCACCACGCAAAGATCACACCGCATCGGTCCTCTTCCCGCGGCCACGCTGATCACGGCTGGCTGAACACATATCACTCGTTCTCATTTGCATCGTGGTATGACCCGCGCTTCAATAACTTTGGCTCCCTCCGGGTGTTGAACGAGGACCGGGTCAAGGCAAACTCCGGTTTTCCGACACATCCCCACAGAGATTTTGAGATTTTCAGCTATATCCTCGATGGAGAGTTGACACACCGAGACTCGATGCTGAAGAAGGGGGCGGAGGGCGGCCAAAGTGACCGCTTTTACCGCATGAAACGAGGCGACGTCCAGTTCACAACAGGCGGCACCGGAATCGCGCACAGCGAGTTCAACGAGCACAACAAGCTCACCACCCACTTTTTGCAAATCTGGGCCATCCCCTGGAAGCGTGGTCTGAAGCCAAGATACCACACCAAACACTTCGCAGAGGAGGATAAGAGGAACGGCTTTGTGCCAATCCTCAGTCCCTTGAAGGGCGGCGTCGAGGCCACGGCCGAGGAGGAAAAGGCGGCAGAGCCTCTCATCGAAGGCACAATCCCAATCCACGCCGATTTTGTTATGGCGGCCGGGATCATCCAGCCTGGAAAGGCATTTGAGTGGAGTGTTGGCAAGGAAGTGACTGAGAAGAGGGAAAGGAAGGTCTATGTTCATGTGCCCATGACCAAGGGCGGCCGTGCCAAGGTGAGGTTGGACGGAAGGGAAGAGATGATTCTGGAGGAAGGAGATGGAGCTTTTGTCGACGCTGTGAGGATGGGTGACAAGCTCAAGGTGGAGAGTGTTGGAGAGGCCGAAGCGGAGGTTGTTGTTCTGGACACCGCATAGGTAGTAAATGTTTTGTAGAAGCAGAATGTGCAGATGTTTTTCGGCAATGTTTTGCCTTTGTTTGAATCTCAATGCATCGGATGTGTTATCCGACACGTTTCAAATTTTGCATGACGGCTTTGAAGAGTGCAGAGCGCTGTTGACGACCCCAACTGCTTTGACAACCGCCGCAACAGATGGAGCTGGGCACCGTCCGCTCTGCCGGACCCGCTGCCAAGGTTGTCAAGATCGTTATCGGTTGGTTAGAATTGGCCGGATGAACCGGGGACGAGGGGAATCGGGACCTACCGGAGCTAGGATCCTTCCCCAGAGTTGATTGATGTCGTTGGGAAACTTTTCTTGTCGATGCGACAAAATTGTTGTTGAGCGTCATTTTTCTCCCGTTCCAAACATCGTCATCCTGCGTCCGTATCTCAAACACTGGGCGAAAACCCTACTGTCTGGCGCGCTACCTACTGCCTCAATCCATTATTTCGCCCGTTTTCTCCAGCACTATCTGAATTGGCCCCTCCTCGGTCGTCCGACGTGTGGCAATTCGGGTACCTCCTACATCGCTGCTGCTCCTCCACTACTCTCTAGTCCGCACCATTAGCCAACGTCACCTTCCAACAATGCTTCGGTCGCTGGTGCGCGCTGCCGAGCCCGCAGCTCGGAGGGGTCTCACTAACCCGAGGGCGGCCACGCGACCGATGAGCACATGTCGAGCCGCCGCTTCCCTCCTTTGCAACGCCCAAAAGCAGCCACAACATCACAGACAGTTTCACGCGAGCGCAGCAAGAATGGCGGCCAACACCAGAACCGAGAGTGATGCGTTTGGCGAGATCCAGGTCCCGGCCGACAAGTACTGGGGCGCCCAGACGGAGCGTTCTCTCGAGAACTTCCGCATCAACCAGCCCCAGGATCGCATGCCACCACCGATTGTGCGTGCCTTTGGCATTCTCAAGGGCGCCGCTGCCACGGTCAACATACGCTACGGCCTCGACCCCAAGATTGGCGCTGCCATCCAACAGGCCGCCAAGGAGGTCGCCGATCTGAAGCTGCTCGACCACTTCCCCCTCGTCGTCTGGCAAACGGGTTCGGGCACCCAGTCTAACATGAACGCCAACGAGGTCATCAGCAACCGCGCCATCGAGATCTTGGGCGGCACCATGGGTTCCAAGAAGCCCGTCCACCCCAACGACCACGTCAACCGCTCTGCCTCGTCCAACGACACCTTCCCGACAGTCATGCACATTGCGGCCGTCCTCGAGATCGAGGGTGAGCTTCTCCCCGCCCTGCAAAGCCTGCGCAACGCCCTGCAAGCGAAGGTGGACGAGTTTGAGGCCAAGAAGATTATCAAGATTGGTCGTACACATCTCCAGGATGCCACCCCGCTCACCCTGGCCCAAGAGTTCAGCGGCTATGTTGCTCAGCTCGACTTTGGCATTAAGCGCGTCGAGAGCTCCCTCCCCGATCTGCGCCTGCTTGCGCAGGGCGGCACGGCTGTTGGCACTGGGATCAACACCTTTGAGGGCTTTGCTGAGGCCATTGCCGAGGAGGTTGCCAAGATGACGGGTACGGAGTTCAAGACGGCTCCCAACAAGTTCGAGGCTCTGGCTGCCCACGATGCGATTGTCCAGGCCCACGGCAGCCTCAACACTCTTGCCGGTTCCCTCACCAAGATCGCGCAGGATATCCGCTACCTCGGCAGCGGCCCCCGCTGCGGTCTTGGAGAGCTGATTCTCCCTGAGAACGAGCCCGGCAGCTCAATCATGCCCGGAAAGGTCAACCCCACGCAGTGCGAGGCTCTCACCATGGTTTGCGCCCAGGTTATGGGTAACAACGTTGCATGCACGATCGGTGGCATGAACGGCCAGTTCGAGCTCAACGTCTACAAGCCACTCGTCATCCGCAACCTTCTCCACAGCACCCGCCTGCTGGCCGACGGAATGCGCAGCTTTGAGAAGAACCTCGTGGTTGGCCTCCAGGCTAACGAGGAGAAGATTGCCAGCATCATGAAGGAATCGTGAGTTTCCACATCCGGCTCATCGTCGTACCTGCTTGCTAACATTAGATAGCCTCATGCTGGT